TAGCTAATTGACTGGCCTATCTCAGTTAATCTTAATTTCATAAATGTAAATGGCTATTATTTACATTTTAAAATTTAAACATGCAAAATGTAACAATAGATGTGCTTAGTAATCAACATGACTCTCTCTCTCTAATCATGCAATTTTAATGCAATGCTTAACTAACCCTAATTGATTATCTCCAGCACAAAGTGACCCAGCGCCATTCACTGACTTTCCGAACGCATTCAATGAACAGATCCACGAGAACGAGGTCATGCCTTATAGCCATGTTGTGGGCCAAGAGGTATTAGGTTATATCCGGGCCGCACAACAACAAGATAACGCTCAGGGTTTGACCGTGGTCTCCCAGTTCTACCAAGACTCTATCGACGCGTTCACACCAATTGTGCCATGGTTATTCGCTGAGCTGGACAAGATTACTATTTCTCCATTACAACACGCTGTGACCACGGTGATTGTTGCTCAGTTTTATAATTTTGCATATATGTGCGAAAGATTGTCCGAACTGCGGGCCGTTAAGCCTCTGGCGGTCACCGGCAATGAGCACAACCTTATTAACCGTCTGAAAACATTGGAGACCCGAGTCGTGGCCGCCGTCGAGAATTCTAAGGGCAAAGGACTTGCACATGGTAATTCGGTTTGGGCCGCATATTTAGATAAGGTAATTTATTAACAATTCTAGTTAATTTTATTACTAACTATGACATTAATTATTGATTAATTATGCATATTTATAGATCAATGCCTTTTTGAACGCCGAGTTCCCCAAATTGAATCAAGCGATCGGTAATTTACCCTCAGCTGCACTCAGAGAAAAAACCATTCAACAACTCATCATCGATTTGACACATTTATCCCAAATGCCCTTTATGCTTTAATTAAATATTATCTCAATAATAATCTAAATATAATAATTATTATGATGTCTTAATTAGTTAATGTATTACAAATAACTTTATAAAATAAAATTGATTTGCATCTATTTATTGCATTGATTAATATTTACAAATTGTTAGAACAAATATATAAGTATCAAATATACAGACACATTAAGATTTGTGGCTAAAAAAGTTAAAAATTGTATTTTACTATTGAGGAATAATAACATGAAGTATGTTTAATAACCAGTATTGTTTGTAGAGAAATGAACTTAATTATTTTTTATCACCATATTTTAATATTGCATTCATAAATTTTGTGAATAAGATGTAGTAAAATTTTAATAATTTATAGATAGCTAATTGACTGGCCTATCTCAGTTAATCTTAATTTCATAAATGTAAATGGCTATTATTTACATTTTAAAATTTAAACATGCAAAATGTAACAATAGATGTGCTTAGTAATCAACATGACTCTCTGGATTTTTATCACTTTAATTGTTATTTTAATACATCATTAATACCAACAATTAATCTTTTACGTGTAGACATTGTTCAAAAACATTTACACTATTAAAACATAAATGCTTAAAAATGGTAACTTTTATTAAAATAAAAATGTATACATTAGCCAATGAATTAAATAAAATAAACTATAATTTATAATGGTGGAAGTGTGGCGTGTGACAAGTCCGCGAGCAGCACCTGGAGGTTTTTGCGTTTAGTCTCTTCATCGGGCAATTCATTAATGGCCTTGTACAGTTTGGGGAACTCAGCCGTCATAAAGTTTTTAATCTATATTATGTAAAAATAAATAATATTAATCTACTTTGTAAATAAATAAAATAAAATAAAATGTTATAGTATGCTTAATTAATTAAATATCGCTATCTATAGTAACTATGAATTTTAATTTACCCTGAGGTGAAACGCCACCCACACTGGATGGGAAGCGATGGCCATTTCGTGATCGAGTGATTCCAGAATAAACTTTTCAGTTTGTTGAATTTTACCAAGCAACTCCGAGGCCGACCCTGCTACATTCAGTGGACCACTCAAAC